ACTCAATATTTTTTATGGAACTGTTGTCACTTTTGCAATTCAGAAAAATACAAACAAGAATAACAATACATGCACAATTTATAAATAGAAACTGCCATCTCTGATCCATTAAGCATTGTCACAATCTATCTATATTCTAAAATTGCTGTTAGGTTGTTACATAAACAAATGTACCATAACCATAAATGGTCCAAATGAGGTAGCAGCCACACAGATAAAAACAGGAAGTAGTACTATTGTTTGGTCATTGAGGAGCTTCAACTACAGTTCGGAAAATGTTGCGAACGTCAAGGAATTTTACAGCACAGAAGATAAAAGGAATGACAGGAAAAAACACTGCTGAGACATGCGTATCTGTGTGTGGTCATCGAAGAGGTTAGTGTGCAGGACCTATGCCAAAAGGTATTTTACAGGAAGACTGGCATCCGAGCAACAATTTGTTACAGAGAAGGAACAAAAGACAAGTCATCAAGAGCAAATATTTGTTCATTGCTGCAGAATGGAGGAATGAGCTCAATCTCAAAGGTACCCCCCTCATTTCCACTTCCGTCTGTGCCGCCCCCACTGCTCTCTCCAGACAACGCAGTTGTAGTGTCAAAAATGTGCCCTTATCTTTTTCCCACTTCCGGTCTCTGCTAAGGGCGACAGAGGAATGTTAGATGGCGCAATGACAAACAAATATCGGAGCCATGGACCCATGAATCCTCTGAAATCTGGTTGAACATATGAGCTGTGACACAATTACACACAAACAAGTCCTGACACTAAGTGATGAAGGGAAATACGCACATGTCAAGGCCATACAGTGCAAACGTGGTGAAATGATAGGAAACTGAAAAACACTGATGTTAGCTGCGTAGCATGCTTCACGCTTTATATACAATAAATGTTTCATTAATCTTCAGGAGGACTGAACTATGCTCGATTGAACTGTCGAAGAAACCGGCCACACAGACAAACAACCAGGTGTGTCCAGATGCAGGAGTGACACTGTTATGTTTTTAACAGGTTTGAAAATGATGTATCCAAGTGCTGATGCTGCAATAACTTTGCTAAACGTGCTCTACAACCTCACACTGACAGATCCAACATCCAGCAAATTCACCGAATGACCATTGCAGTATTTGTTCCTGAACCTTGCTCTTTTTCTTCAAGTTTAATAGCAAGGTTATCATTTGGTGTATTAACCCCACCTACAACAAACAGTCATTCAATGAATGGCTCTCTGTTTCAGGTGTTTTTTTATTTTTTGTATATGTGTTCTATTTTAATCAAATGTACAATATATATTTCTTGCAGTTATAATTTATAAATGTCAATCTTTTGCATAAATTCCAAAGATGACCACTTTTAAAGCATTTACACCTGCAGAAGATTCATAGCACTGCAAATAAGAAATTCTATATCAGAAGAGGCCAAAACCAAACGTTAGCTTGAGAAAAGTCACCTGTGTTGTGAGGCTGCGTGTTGGCGTTCTTGTCTAACATAAAATCCCACATTACAAAGTAATGAATTACAGAGTTTGAATGCGTTCTGCTTAATAGGTTTTGTCATTTCTTGCTGACATTGTGGGAATAAAAAATACATTTCAACACACTTTCGCTATGAGGTCAGCAGGACTCACTCATCCTGGCTCTAATATGGACGTGAAACAATGTCAGGAATGTGACCACATGGGAGAAAAACACTGTCATGTCATTCCTCTGTCCTTATGGGGACAATTCTGAGAGGACAGGAAGCAAACTTGGCAACAGTCAGTTTGAGGTAAGAGAAGAGCAGGGAACAGTGACTCAAACAGAAACACACACTGCCCTGATGTGTGGGAGCTGAAGAATATGGGCCAAACCCCTGCATGAGCAGATGGAGTTTTTGATTGTAGCATCAGTGCCCGCATTCCCAACACACAGAGCGGCGATCTACACTGAGACAGTTTCAGTCTGTCTGATATGAGTGATGGAGGTGTCTGCTGCATCTCTGGGTTCAGATACAGACATGTTAGAAAACTCATTTGCGTCACCATGTTCGTCATAAGATGAGTTAGGAAATGTTATATGCTCCCTCCCTGTTTTTTTAAAGCAGTTGATATTATACCATGAGTCTTCCGATGCTACCATTTTCAGATTTAATCAAACTAATGTGGTCGTACATGAGCACAGAGATTCAGTCTTGACCTTGGTAATAAACACCTGTAAGATATTCTGAACTCTAGGTTGGCATACTAGCCTAATCCTCCTGTTTTACAAAAACCTCCACAGCCAGGCGCCTTCCAACCTCTCAGACATGCTCCACTACCACACCTCCTCACACAACCTCTTCTCCTCTGATGCCAACCTCTTCCTCGAATCACAAAGGACATCTGACCCCGAGTGACGGGGCCTTCTCTTTAACCACCCCCTTCCTCTGGAACTGCAAATTGAAAATTGAAATTGGTGGATGAGGCTGGTCTGCCCCACATCACCCCGCATCCCCCGAGGCTTCAGGGAGCCTACAACCTCCTGAGTCAACCTCCATAACTATTGTCCAATTGTAAGGTGTCTTTAAGTTCCTTGAAAATTGCTTTACAAACAAAACGTATATTGATTAAGATTTTTCTTTGTATTTATCTTCTCTCTCAACGTTATACTAAATTAGTTACAGAATAAAACATCATCTCTGAGCCTGCACCTATAGTTCACTGTCAAGATTATCAATAGAACAATAAAGACGCAAAATAAAAGCAAATATGTTGACATGTCATTTTCATGCTTAAGAAGAAGCCAAAGATATTTGTTGTATTTAAAGCTCCAGTGTGTGAGATTTAGGTGAAAGGGAACTATTGTCAGAAATTTCATGTAGAATAATCCTCATGATGTTTTCACTAGTTTGTTTCATCTAAATTGTATGAAGTGTAGTTTTCTTGACCCCAGAAAAGGCCCTTTATATTTAAATACTTAAATTCTACACACTGTACTTTTAATCCTGATGTGAAAAACCCCTGAAATGTTTCTGATCATGAATTGTTTTCACATCTCCTCATGTAGGTAACCATTTCATAGAACTCTTTCCTTGGAAATACAACACAATATTTGGTTATTGTGCTTCTTTTTATTCCTGGTCTGGTTCACTGGCAGGTGGCAACCAACATCAAGGTGCATTACCGCTGACTACTGTGTTCTTGTTTACTGTTTTATTGATATTATAAATGTGTAGATGAAGCATTGCTTCAAGGGAATGTGTCGCTCTAGTTATTTGTTACGAGGAAGCCTCTGACATTCAACATTCAAGTGAATCACGGCAAGATTGTGTGTGTGTGTGTGTGGGGGGGGGGGTGTCACCCGCCAATAAACCAAACAAAGAAGAAGAACTGCATCTGTGTCATTATTCAGACAGTGTGAAGTCTGATACCTTCAGTGTGATGTCATCATTTCGATGCTCTGGCCGCGAGAACCAGTGCAGACGATTATGTTGCTTTCTCCTGCCACCTAGCGGTTACATTGGTCACCTACAGCACCGGGGAACAAAGACGAGCCGTCGTGATGGCAGCACAGACAAGAAGAAGATCACATGTCAGTTATATCATCAGCACACAGACAATGAGGTACAACAATCCACAAAGCTGTGAATAAAACGGATTCAAAGTAAAAAAAAAAAAAAATCAGGATTGGAAACATGTCAACATGAAGAATGAGTTTACCTTGTCCACAGGGTGGCGCCACATTCACCAGCACGGTGTCAGCAGGTTTTAGGAAAACATTTTTTTACTGCCTGGAGATGAACTGAAATTTAAAGAAAAGGAAAAGTGATGATGTAAAAGATGAGCAATAAGAAGAAAGAAAGTAAAAATGGAATTGAGTGCATTAAAGTGAAGGATGTACGACAGAAGGATCAGTAGTGCAGACAAAATAAGTAGATCATTTTAAATTTTCTGGAAGATTCAGCATAGTCACACTAATAATCCACAGAGGACATCATAAAGTTTTCATATGGATTATATCTTCAGTGGGTAATAGTTCCAACATATTGTGTACATCATTATTAACATTAACATTATTGTTATTATCTATATTAGCTCATCTTGTTCAACACAGGCTATAGCAATTTAACTGTGACCTGTGCATGTGAAAGAGGCTTGGTGTGAAAAAGTCAATAAGAAATGATTTAATTTTGGTTGGGTATTCAGTGATAGCAGTAAAGAGCATTGAATCAATAATGTGAAGGTTACAAAAAGAAGCAATAGAAATAGTTGGAAAATAACGTAAGAGCTAAGCTGCACTTATTGGGCAATTTAGATCTTATATAATCCTCACAACAGAGGATTTTAATGGGATTTTAATAGGCCATTTTAAATACACTGAAGAGGAGTAAATAAGCTTAAGACAAAGCAGAAACATCTTCAACATGTGTTGTCTCTCAAAATAGCTTTTAAAATTAAAGGGGACAGACGGTATTGATGGTATGTGCATCTTACATTGCATCCAAATTTGATTGCACAGTATATTAGCCTTCATATTATATATAAGATAATATTAAACGGAAATTACATCATACAGAATATATATTATTAAGTCCCAAAATAAAGAAACAAATATATAGTTTATAATAAATGAAAATTAGTGAAAACGGAGTAAATGCAGATTCAGTCAGTGCCTACAAATGAAAAAAGAATATTTAATTAGACTTAGTAATATTAAACCATGCTTCTCTGTGGCTGTGAACTGCAGCTTTGTGTGATATGTAGGGTTTCCCTCACTGTGAACTGATTTGATCTCAACTTGACATCTCAGGTCTTTCTGTTTCAGCATCATGAAATAAACCAGGCTTCACATTGGCCTCCTCACATTAGCTCTGAGTTGCATATTGAAACACTGTCGTCCTGGTCCAGGCTAATTCAAGACAGAATATTCACAGCAGTATGAGTTACCATAGCAACTGACCTCAGCGTTCAATCGAGGTATCTCTGCAGGGCTGAAAATCCAGGGTCGAGCCTAAAGGTACCTGCTTTGTGAGACTGGGACAGTGATTGTCCCGTTAATCCTCATTGTAGTTTTTTGGAGACTTAAATCTCAGGAAAAAAATGCGCTTGGAGGGTTTAAGCCAAGACTTTTGCTCTATATCTCAAAGTTACAAAAAAAGAAAAGAAATTTCCCAGATTCACACGTTTATCCACATCACCACCAAAATGTATTGAGTTCCTCCTTGAGTCATTCCCCACCCTTCCACAACATCTCATGGAAATCAGTTTGGTAGTTAAATAAACAGATGACATGACTTCTTTGGTGGAGGAATTGAGACATAAGGGATCCAATCACCCCTGTTGCAAAAACATTGCATTTCATTTTTTTTTTTTTTTTTTAAAACAAGTTATTTTATTATCTTCTAAGATTGCAAGAGGGTATTTTTCTCTGGGAATAATTCCTGGATCATGATGAAAACAATCAGGTACATTAAGTGATATGACAGCTATAGTCTGAAATTTGGTGCAGCTTGATTAAAAATAATAATTAAGGGTACTTTTGAGCCTAGGTGGAGGTACGAGCTGTCCCAAGTGCCATTCTAGTTTATCCCGACTAAGCTTTTATTCAACATACCTGAAATGGTTGGGCCCTGGTTACTATCAATTATTTTACAGTTCACTATCACTTGGCTATGTTCCAAATGACTTCAAAACAGGTAGTGTTCAGCCAATTCTAAAAAAAAAAACCTGGGCTCCATCACATGATTTTAGATTGTGGCAACTGACCATTCCACGAGGCTCCCCCACACAGCCAGAGACGGTTCTGTTGCTTTTTCAGCATTTCATTAATACAAACTGAAACTTTCCAGCTGTCCTCTCATGTGTCTCTGTCCCGCGTGTCTCCTGAGCGTGTGTTCTCCATGAGGCAGCTCCTGCACCTCCTTCTGAACCTGAGGATCAGTCAGCTAACAGCTCTCACCTGCTGACTGATCCACTGTGGTGCAGGTGCTCTCCCAGCCCCCTCACCTCCACATGCCCCCGTCACCACATTCAGGCCAGGGAGCAATCCGACGAGGGACCCGGAGCAGGAGCAGGAGCTGCAGGCGGAGGGAGCAGGAGCCGGAGCAGGCGTGCAGACACGACCAGGTGAGGAGATCGCGGAATCGGTGACGTCTACACCGATGCACGAGGACGCGGAATCTGGGCCGCGCTCACCGCTTCTTGCAGTGCGGTGAGGCAGGCTGGAGCAGGTGAGAGTCCGCGACCGGGCCAGGAGACGCTCCATCAGCGCCGTCTTCCTCTCCGCCTGCCTCTGGAGCGCCTCCAGCTCCCGTCTGTTCCCCGCTGTATGCTCCCGGCACACGGCCACGAAGACCCCCGACTGCAGGTCCTCATCTCTGGGCGCGTAGAGCCCCACGCTGGGCGTCAGTGTGCTAATTGAGCATGCCATGAGGCTCTCCCACACACAGCCTGAGACAATGCTGTTGCTTCTTTAGCATTTTATTAATACAAACTTATACTTGCTTAATCTTCTGAGCGTGTGTTCTCCATGAGGCAGCTCCTGCACCTCCTTTTAAACCTGAGGATCAGTCAGCTAACAGCTCTCACCTGCTGACTGATCCTCTGTGGGGCAGGTGAAGGTGCTCTCCCAGCCCCCTCACCTCCACATAGATCAATTATAGATCCATCTCAAAATGACCTTTTTATCTCTAAAATACTAAAGACCATGGCTGCATCTTAGAAGATAGACTAAGGAAATGGGTGGGGGCGTAACAGGTGTTGTGAGCTGGATCAAGTCCTAGAAAATTCTCTGTCCAGTAATAGACATATGTCCTCATTTACTAAATTCAAGTATGGAGTTCTGCAAGGGTCAATTGAAGGACCAATTCTATTCTCTCTTTACATGCTCCCATTGGGAAATATCATGCAGTTCAGTTTGTGCTCAGTTTATCCTGTTGCTTACTTAATTTTATTGTGTCTTATCTTTGTGTTTTATCTGATTGCTTTGATTTGGGAAGCACTTTGTAACCATGTTTTGATAAGTTCCATATACATAATGATTTGTATTATTCTATTACCCTATTTGTCATCAGGACTCACAAAACACAAAAAGCCTAGAATTGATTTGCACGATACTAAGTGGAGGGATGGGGCATTGGCCAGGGAAGAACCCAATTCATCTTAGAGCAGATCCAGTTTCCACTGGAGCCTTAAACAGCATAAATGGTTAAATGTGTCTTTCTTACCTTCAGCCTCTGACTGACATTCACCTCCTTACATTGAGAAAATGTATGCGTCGAGGTAAGTGACTCAAAAACCACACACGCACCACAATTTTAATATAAATCTGTAAAAATGAGAAGTTTAATGGTAAACATGAAAATGACAGTGATTGTATCATTTATAAAAGCAACAACACAAAAATACATGTATCTGTTTATGAAAGGAAAACCCAAACTATACTGTAGCTACCATGTAAATGAAACAGGTTTCCTCTGGATATTGTTTTGTCAGTGCACTCCAAATGTCCTGATCCCAAACTTCTTTTAGAAAAGGAGGTGATCGTAAACCCTGCTTCTTCAAACACAAACAAAGACGACGACAACGATGACAAAGAAACTGATAAATAATAATTAGAATAATCACAGCCTTTAAGAATGACATTTTAAAACCACAATCTTGACGTAAAATTGCACTTCAAAATACTGGTCAGGATGAATAAATAGTTGTAGTACCTTTCTATATCCATTTTGATAATACAGTACATTAACACAGCAATAGTATATTAGAGCTGTCGAAGGGGTAAATAGGGTAATTGGTTAAAACTGTCTATTTTCATTCCAGCTGCTTTTTGCATATAGTACAGAATTTGCATAATAGCACATAAATAAATTAACACCAATGACATCAAACAAGAGGGTAAAAAAAGATTTACAAAACATACTGCATATCTAACATAGTGTCTATATATATTATTCATATAATTACATAACAGCGTCATTCAAAAGCGGTGCTCAAGTGCTCTTGCCTTTTCTCCTTGGAGTCTAAACCAGACTCTGGTTTTCAGTCTTTTGCACTGTCCCTTTAGACTCTCCCCCCAATCACACCTGTGTCTGGGAGGAGGGAGTCTTTTTTTGGCCTTCGGTCTCCGGGTAAACACACCTCTCTGTAACATGTGCATCCGTGTTCACCTCTGCAGGCCTCACCTCTGTACTTGGACTCGACGGTTGTTGGACGTATCCTCGACTCTTCCTGTGTGACAGAGAGTCCAAAAGGCTGCTCTTAGACATTTCCCCTGATTCCACGGGTTCTGCCGGGCTGGCTCGGCTGTCAGGTGACATCTTTCGGAGAGTATCCTGCCGCTGCAGCAGAGAAAACCTCCCCTTCACAGTGCCACTCTGTCTCCAGGAGGACCCTGTACCGGCGGGGTTATCTATGGTTGCTGTTGGGCTGCACACCAGTCTGTAAAGAGGGAGGGGGGACCTAGGCTGAATCATGTGTATCCCCCCAATGGGAATAAGGAGGCTCGGGGCCCGGCTCGGCTGCTGAGAGTGCAGAGGGAGGTGACTCAGGAGGTTGTAGGCTCCCTGAAGCCTTGCGGGATGCGGGGCGATGTGGGTCAGACCAACATCATCCACTAACTACAACAAAACAAGAGGAGATGAAATTTGAATGGTTCTGCAGGAGGAATTAGGTCATTACACCAGAAACTAAACAAGGATACAGAGGAACAGAACATTAGCGGAGCAGATTTAAATGAAAATGTTCAGGCTGAACATCAATAGCAGTGACTCATCAATTACTAAGCCTCTGTGCCGAGAAAACAACTTATGAAACCGAGCTCTGGAGAAGTGCTGAGTTACAGAACAGTCGTAAAAGAGATCGTTAAACGGCCTCATATTGTCTCACATTACATCAACACTTCAGCATGTTCATGTGTCAAAATGTGGTTAGAGGTTGAGGCAGATTGTTTATTCATTTATTCCCATTTTCAGACATGAACTCCAAAAAATGGGGGCTGGCCTTTCACATGAGGCAAATTTCCAGGTCAGAGCTGTTCACGACAACAGGAAAATGTCTAGAGCGTCAGGTGAGGGGTGGCGTCTGAGTAGCTCATGCAGTAGGCAGGACATACCTTATAAATTGATGTTTGTGTTTACAGTACATCTACACCAGTGTTGGTCTTTATTTCAGGGGGTGTAACAATACGCAAAAATCAGGATTGGATATGTACGTCGAATTTGAGGTCACAGTACGGTACGTTTTCGGTACAGTAGAAACAAGGAAATACACTAACTCCTTCACTAAAGTTGACCCTCGGAATTTAAGACGCACATAAATGAGTTACTGGACTTTTTCGGTTACATACATGACTGTTACACCACTAGAATGTATATCTAGATGGACTTAATAGCAACCCCCCAACAGTGAATCCAAACAAAGCCCCCTGGTGGCTGCGGAGTATGTCATACAACCCACCTCTTCCATGTTGGAAGGGAGGACATGGGCCATCTATTATCTATACCACTGATCCTGTAGGATCAATTACACACTTCAAATAAATCTTAAGTAGTTATTATCACACTGAGGTGTATATTCATGTGTTCATGTTTTTGATAAGTTTGGTTTTAATTAGGTATTTGATGATATAAAAACATAAAACATCATGATGACAGCTGAGACTGACTCGCGCTCCAAATGATCAACAACACAGCACCCATATCTAAGATGTTTTGGCTTCATTTTTTACAGTGGGAGGAAGTACAGTCGTGCCTCATCCAACTTTATTTATGTCATTGATGTACAGGTGTACGCCAGGACCTGTGACATCACCGCTGGCTGTGGTTACAGGTGCAACTATGCACATGCCACCCAACCCGGTATCACAGTGCTTCTCAGACTGCTGCTGAGTTACTCTTTTTAATACATCATTATAGAGAGCGAGTTTAATGAGACCAAAGACAGAAAGCAAAAAAACATGTGTCCTGATGAGGTACCATGCTTGAATCCAAATGTCTGGATGTTCCTGAACTGGCACACTCAGTGAAGTAATGGACACGCTCTGATACAAAGGAAGTCAGTGAGTGCAGAAGGCCTTAAGTGCACTTTCCTTGGAATTCCAGGACACAAACTTTACCAGCAACGACGACAACAACAGCTTGGGAAAGATAAAACATCCTCCAATCCACAAAGGAAGGATCATTACATGGGGATTAAAGTATCAATGTCCAAATAGTTACGTAACAATTACTGACTTTTTTTTAATCTTATGCATGTGTTAATATTTGCAAGCACACATTAATTAATTGCTGTCTGATCAATACTGTTTTTTTAAGTTGATACCTCTATAAATATAAAAAAATATATTTTTTAAATGTATAACATTTTTGACTGTCGATTATTAAAATATTTAATGAGTGGGACATTTTTCAGTTGACATTACAGTATTATGATGGTGTGCAAAGTAATATTAAAACCAAATCAAAAATAAAATTAGTTGAAAATACTGTATGTACTTAAAGAACATCTTTCATTATTCAGGCAAGAGGTGGAGCAGCTGAGCGCGGAGATCACTTGATTTTCTTTAACACACTCAGACACCGGTGTTGGCTCTTATCACCACAAACTCTCTTGACACATTTGTCGGCGTCTTCTACGTGTGCGGCTCCGTGTATCTCAGCAGGTTTACTGTAGGTGGTAGGTGCTTACATCTAATATTTAGACATATGACTCTTTGTTCCAAAAACAACCAGTTGCAGCTATAGCTTATGTGTACAGAAAGTTCTGTGTACGGATGTGAATAATGGACCTGCAGAGGATGTGAATTTGTATCTCCTCCTGAGAGACCTATATTAGTGTGAAGAGGAAGTGGTGTGGATACACCATGACATAACCACAAGTTCTGAGTTTTTTCTTATTATTTTATTAGGGTGAACGGAGATATACACCCATGTTGTTTTTGTCGTGGACATGTGGTTCCAATAGTTTGTATTTAACGATGGGCCTGCTTCTCATTTTATCAGCGGCTGCCCAGGGAAAACATGTTGTGTCTACTTGGGAGCTCTGCTGCATTATTTTTAAGGCTCGGAGCGGCAGGCTTCGGTCGTGACTGATATAAAACAAGAGAGTTGCCTTTCCTTCCTTTTCCAATAAATGTACGACTTTAAAATAACCTCATATGTACCAGGCTATCTATATTTGTTCTAAGTGTTGACTCATTGGGATTTAACTGAGCCACACAAGATTGCCTTTGTCAGCCAAAAGCTTATTTGTTTAAAACTGTAGGCTAAACTAACAGAGATGGATCGAGTCACAGGTGAGTGAAGACTGTGGTTTGAACGAAAGCCATGCTTTGACCAGTGTTAATTATAAATAGCAAAATTCAGACAGTAATACAACCTGAAATAATCAATATTATTTGTAGAATACTAATCAAAATGCGGTCAACAGACATTATGCCACCATGTTTTTGAAAGCTGAAATGACTCACCAGTCTTGCTGCAGACGGTCGGTCCCATGGGTGAAGACAGGTTTGATGCCGAGTAGAGATGTCGGTGAGGGAGCCCAGGGGCCCACAGGAGATTGATCCATGGGGCTGGACCACAACAGGTGAAAGACCTCTGACAGGGGAGACTGGTCTCGGTGAGGAGGTGGAGACATGACAACTGGATGAGGAGAGGGAGGAGGAGGGATGAGGCATGGGTGATGGACTATGAGGAGAAGGCTCCCTTCGAGGAGTCAGGGATGGAGTACTAGGGGAGCAGGAGCCTCTGGAGGACACAGATGCTGAGGAATCGAGGCATCTGCGGGCGAAAAGGCCCCTCCTGGCCCTGGCTGAGCTCCTCTGGGCAGAATCCTTGGGGGGGAGTATGAGTGATGGGCTGGCTTCAGGCTCTATTGACTGGCCTCCTGAGTGAGGTTTCTCACTGTGAGAGGAGGCAGCGTGAGAGCTTTCAGACGCCTTGGGCCAGTTGTTTTCAAGTCTACCATCTTTGTCCTTTGCATTGTTATCTTCTCCATGTCCACCTGTACCCAGATCAGAGTGATCTTTTTGTTTCTCTGGGTGAAGTGGACGGTCTTCACAGACTCCTAGGGCAGGAAATATCAACAAGTTTTACTTTCTCACCAACTGCTTGCCAAACCAACTCTTATGATTACAAGAATTCTACATCAAGTGTACTGGACACATGTTGGCCAATCATCGACAGCACATAAAAGTGGAAAACATTCCTAATTTGGGCTATTTTTGACCCTGTCAAATCTTGTGTTGTGTTTTCAAAATCTTACATTTCCTGACTGCATGAATGTGAGTACAAGTGTTTAAGGCTACATCCATACTCATAAGTTTCAGATTTAGAACAGGATGTCAAAGATATCCCTGGGTGGGGGGGAAGTGTGAGGGATTTTAACTAGGCTAAAAACATGGTGTAAACAACAGCATTTCGAATGTCGGCTCGGACAGACATTTGGATGATACTACCGCAGCAGTATGGAGGCTTTTTTTTTGGTGTGGTCACCAGTAACTTCAACTGAGAAATGCTCCTTTACAGTGGGTAGTAGATGTTTGATCAAAAGCTGAGCTTTCAAGGACTCTCAAGGAAAGTAAACCATGGATGTATTAAGGGAGATAGATACAGCACTGCAGTAATGACTATGTGTATTCAGTGTCCGCATGGATTCAACTTACTGGTGGGCACATGGAATCGAACACAAACATTTTCCTCATAAATTGTATATCTACAATGTAAAGTCTGTAGGCTGAACAGGGACTAATGAACGTGTGGGTTGAGCCTCATATGCACCAGGTGAGCAATTAAAATTATGTGAGCGGGCTCCATCTTTTTTTGTGTGATATCCATTTCATATGAAAACATCCCTGTTGTAAACACACTGCACTTGTGACTGTAGCTCACAAGCTGAAGACAGACATCACGTTTCCTTGCAGTGGTAATAAAGTTTATTGACCTTGTGTTTTTGTTTCTTCCCTCTCCGGTCTCTAAACTTTTGGTCACTTGGCTACAGTAAATAACTGATAGATCTCACAGAATGCCATATATTTCTCCCAGGTGGGAACACAGGTCCACATTTATGAGAAAGATCATATAACCTGATAGCATGACATCCAGATATCAGATTAGAAAGACCATATAAGGCTTGTTAAGACGAGGGTTAGTAATCCTGGAGAAGATAGCTAGAACACAATAAATATGCAGCAGATACATCCTCCCCCCTATCGTCAGCCCTCTTGTTAAAGCTACACCCTAAAAACACATGAACATGCACTGCCTGACAACTGCTAGAAGACAACTTCAGCTGAAACAGTTTACCAACCCTACCTTTAAGTAAACCAGCTAACAAATTCCTCTGCTAGCTTACTGTGTGTTGCAGTAGCTGTTTTAATATGGTGACCATTCTCAAAACCACTGATGCTTCAAATCATCAATACGATGATGCAGGTTGCTAAGAATATTACAATTCTTCAAAAACAATGATTAAACCAGAGTTTTTACTTTGTTGGTCTGGAGGCATATTTATTACACAGTATATTTTATTATAAATACAAGTTTGAAGAATCAACTTGTTACACAATAACAATATATTGTGTAATAGTTGAACTAAAATCCAATGAGTCTGTGTTTTGGATGAAGAAACTGTGCAGGAGATCTGATCAAATTAGCACAGCAAGGAAATCCTGTCTTTAGAAGAAAGTCAGACATAAATCTACGACACACATAATACACAAAAATAAACAGTGAGTTAGTAGACAAAAAATAATATGAAAAAAAAACATAGCATACCTTTAATTAGGTCATCTGTATAACAGGTTTCTTTTCCATGTGGCTTACATCTCAGGTGTTTCGTGAGGTTCCCTGCAAATACAAAAGAAGAAATGAGGAATCAACAGAAGAGAAGCATCAAAAATCCTGGTTTCGCATTTTTTGTTATCCTGCCTTTACCTTTGGGTTTGAAAGCAATGTGACACTCACTGCAGTTACAGAGAGGGGACTTTGTGCACTTCTGCAGAACACTAATATTCTTAAGGGGCAACTCGCAATCCTCACTTTGGCACTTCCCTCCACCTCCACCACGCATAGGACCATACTTCTGATTTGATCTGTAGGTGCAAAGAGAGCAAGAGGTTTCAGTTTGCTCCTCAGAGCGTTTCCCTGTCAGTTGTGTATTGATGCCACTCCTTCTCTGGATGATAGTAACAATCAATATGAGGGTAACTGGAGCTGACAGACAGGCAGCAGGTCCTTTAGCACCTGTAAGCAGCTTTTTAGTGCCTGTGTTTATCCAGTGTGAGTGCGCTATCTGTTTGGCCTTTGCAACACAGTGAGCTCACACTGTGGCAGCAGGGCCTGGGGTGCAGCACTCCATGTACACTGAGGGTCTCTCAGCGAGGCACCCACTTCAGCTTCAACAGAGCTGCTTTCATAAGCCAAAACCAGACACCCTCCGCCCACCTCCCACTGCCTTATAACCCCATCACAGCTCACACCACCACTGAGTCTAAACAAGGGGGAGACTACGATGTGTCCCAAGGTCCGGGCTATGCTGCAGCCAGCCAATAAAAACAGCTCGGAGAGGGAGGGAAACCCTGGCCCAGACCAGCTGCTGCTCCAAATAAGCATGAAAAAACACTGAAAATGAAAACACATTCCTACGACAAACAATCGCTCTGATTATAATCGGCAGTTTTCTCCATCTATTTTCACTACAGGCTTCACGGCTGAATAAAGTCGGCAGGTATCAGAAACGGCAAAACAACATTTAAACACTTTCTGTCCGCTTCTAGTATGATACAGATTTTTGCAAACTACTATTCTTGATAGGTTAGAATCTCCCAATGTCATACGTCGTTCTGCATCTAGAGATTAGCCGATTAATCCATCACAAAGCAGAAAAGTGATTCATCGTTCAGGTCATATTTTACACAAAAATGCATTGGATAGTTTCAGGTTCTCAAGTGTGGGAAGCTTATATTATAGTAAATTAAATTTGAGGGGAATTTTGACACTTGCGGAAATAGTGATGCAACATTTTCACTGTTTTCTGCTGTTTAATAGACTGAACAAAAGCATCAGTTGATCCAGTTGGGAGATTAATAAAATCCACAGCAATTTTTTGATGATTTTTATTTTTTTAGCCCTATCCCATTCTGTATAGCAGGTTGCACTTCATGTTATCCTGCATGTCCACATGTAATGTTCTACACATTGGTGTCAGTGGGAGAGATTGAAAATGGGTTGCTGTTGTCCTTGTGATTGGCTGTGATGGTTTGTTTAAATTAATCTCTGCAGGAGCAGAGGAAGCTGGGTAGCTCCCTGGCTTCATCCCCTCAACAGATGGGTTCTGTTGGTGCAGACAGCCAACCACTGGCCTCTCCAACATGATGGACAGACAGTTTCCAAAACACACCAAACTATGTGACGCAAGCCTTCAAGTCATGAGGTATGGCAATATGTCATCAGTAAAACTAATGTCATCAGCTAAGGCCACACTCACCCCTCCTCGGCGATCCAAACTTCAGGAAGTTCTTTATTTCTGGAGCAAGACTGGACTCCCTCCCTTTTTTTCTTCTGTTCCTCCTTTACCTCCTCTCTGTCTGACCTGATGTCTCCTGCCGACAGCTGCTCCTTCCTTGTCCCCTCATAGTCTCGGCAGTATGACTGGCTGTTGTAGACCTACACTCGAAAGAGACATGGGCAAATTCACCAATTCTGCTCCAGCATGCCCAGGGAGACAAAAATTGGGAATTCTCATTGAACGTTGTATTTTATAGCATTTGTTAAAGCACATCTTTGTCCTTTGTGTGTCATGGTTGCTTGTTTGTGTACTCAGCTCAAAAAACATTTTAGTTCCATCAAAGTTAAATCATAGTTAAGAATCTTTTTTGCCAATGGAATTAAACAAAAACATAACCTTTCAATGCCAAACCACCAGTTGCCGAAACCTTTACACTTCACCATTGGAAAAAAAGAAGAAGACACTATGCTAATCTACCAACTTCATACTCAATTTAACCTGAATTTGGGGACTACAGGAATTCTTAACTTTGAGGCAGTATAAACTCTTTCAGTCCTCCACATGTTTTTACATTATAATATAGATAGAAAGACAATTGTAATCAGAGGTTAGTAATTACCTCAGTGGAGCATAGCCTTTTGTTGTCCTCTTGATCCATAGACTCAGTTGTCCTGACTGACATGGTGGCTATAGTGTAGATAGAGGGACTGAGCCTCTGCTTGCAGTGCACCAGAGAGAGAGCTGTTTTGCTGGAGAGGCCAGGAGGGTTGGGATTATAGCTGCTAGTGGACCACGATGAGTACACTGAGGGCCTCTGCTCATCCAGGGTAGAAGGGTTTGGTTTGATGTAGTTCAAATAGCACCAGCTATTACAGGTACTGGGCAGCAGACTGGGGAATGAAGGTCCAACATGTGTGATGGGAGAACAAACACCTGGTGGACACGGTTGATTATCTTGTTCCTGACCACATGGGTCCACTGATGCCTTGTCAACAAATCCCACTACCCTCGCTTCCTCTTCTTCTTTTACACGTTTCTGCTGCTGTTGTGACTCAGGGGGGAGCTCTATACTGTTTGAAGGGGAGAGCATGCGCTTGTTGCCCCCTGAGCCTGATAACCGTAGGCCATCATCAGACCAGAACTGATAATCTGGATTTGTGTCCCTGTGGTTTCTGTACTCAGCTACTGGAATACCTACATTCACGGAAACGGCATCAACTGCCTTCTGGTACCTCAGAGATATAGACTGAGACAATGTAGTGTATATGGCACATGCTGGGGATAGGAAGTCTGTTTGGAGACGCACTGCTACTGATGGAGATGCGACCGGCCTCAGTAATTCTAGGCTAGAAGTGATGTGAGGAACAGAGTGTTGACTGTGGGAGAGACTTACTCTAGTGTCTGAGTAATTGTCATGCTGTGAGGGAATCTCTAGCTTTAGCCCTGTAGACATGGGGAGGTAGCGAGCTCTGGCTGCCCCTGATGGTCCGTGTGCGAGATAGGGCTGTGGTGCTTGAGGAGAGGGCTGCTCTGTTTGGATGTGTGAGGTCTCCTCTTTTACAGTATTTACAGAAGGAACATGACTATATAAGAGTTCTGTGCTGCCTGTTAACTGAATATTTTGACCAAGTTTCCACTGAGTAGCTGGAGAACGCAAGAGTGTGTCACCAGAAACAGGAGAAGTGGGTGGCTTACTGCAGCACAAAGAGGTTGGGTTTGCTTGAGCAGATGTGCTAGTTGTGACGCGTTCAGGACTATGGCTTGGTATGTTGCACTGGTCCTCCTCCTCCTCATCTGGATCTCTGATAGCAGTGTGTCTCATTAGGAGACACTTTCTTCTTTCCCTCCAGCCAACTGCAGTGCGCTCAGGGGACAGACAGCTGTAGTCAAAAGACTTACTGCGCGTCTCAGCCATTAGGACACTTGGTTGGGGGTCATGAGGTGCCTGCTCAGATGCTGAACGCCTCATCTCTCTGTGCTGATGCACTCCAGGCACCGTGAGCATGTGAGGAGCTCTGGATCTCCTCAGTGGTGATGATGTTGCTGTCTCCATGTCTGGTCTATTTGACTCCTCAAACGATGTTGAACGACTGGATGCATAGGATGCACTACTCTCTTGACTAGGGCTACGGGGCAGAGATACTGAGTCAAAACTCGATTCCCCTGAGGACTGGGCGACCTCAGCAAGACGTAAGCGCTTTTTCTTTGGAGGAAGTTTTTCAATTGGGAGCTGGGCCAGAGATGAGCTTCTCTGGGGCCACTGAAATTCATCAGGCTTCTCCAAAGGCTTTGCTATGGGGGCTGGCTCTACAGAGGTCAACGTTCTCAAGTTGGAATCCTCTGTCACCAGTATTTCTGGAACTTTGTGTTGCCGGACCAGTTTTCGTGTGGACAGTTTTGTTGACTGTTCTTGGGGTAGTTTCTGAGGCGGTAGTTGACATTCTTCATGATGTGTAGAGTCTTTTGTTGCCTCGGGGCCTTGATTCTCATTGCACAAAGATTCTTGTTTTTCGAATGAACTAGTATGTTGAATTACTGAACAAGTTTGCAAAGTAGGTCTTCTGGGGCCCTCATAAGCTACACTGCTGTCGTCCTCACACTGTCCGGACAAGAGGGCAGGAGAGGGTAATGAAGGAGAGGAAGGGTCATCGAATTCAAAACTCTCCTCTTTCCTCCTCTTGCGCACAGTTGAAGCTCCTGCTCTGACTGCATGGTTAATTAACTGTGAGAACGCCATTTGACTAATGACAACCTCATTTCTGGGATGATGTGCTAAGCACAGGCTTTGCTTGTGTTTCTTATAACCTTCCCAATCTTTGCACCCAGTGCCACAGGCCTCACACTCATATGGCTGGGGTTGACTTGGCTTGTGGTCAGGCACAGTGGTTATGCTGTCAGGGTAAAATAAATGAGAACCCTCTTGTTCCTCTTTTGTAAGTTCAGCACCAAGTGGGATTTCAATAGCGGGCTGCCGTCTTAGCATTCCATAACGACGGGCTGCCCTTATTTCAGAAGGCTGCCTTTCATCAAAGGACTGACTTTGGCGAAATTTACTGGAGCCAACACTGGAGGTATCAAATGAACTAGCTGCAGATGGCATTGAGTGACTTCTCACCAGAGGAGCAGTGGATGTTTGGCCAGGTGGCTGCTGATGATAAAATTTTTCACATGGGACTCCCATGGTAATGGAGCCACTGTTTTTATAGCCAGGATCTCCAGCTTTAGGGCTATGAATAAGTTGTTCTTTAACAGATGAAGTCTTTTGAGTTTCTGAACTATTCTTTCTAGAGAGCGAGAATCTTCTTGGTTTTACACTGTCAATTTTACTAGTGTCCACCACTGCCTCATTGATGGTGATGAGTTTGGTAATATGGTCAATGACCTGCTTCTTGGGCACTGTGAATGGGATGCTTTTTTCCTTCTGATCTGAGGGCTGCTGGTTATGATGACGAGACATCCTCTGTAGGTGTCCAAGACGTCCGTATTTGCCAAGGATGATCTCTGCATAGCTTTTGGCACTTGTGTTGGGGGGACTGTCCTGTGACTGCTCAGTACTTTCAGAGCGAGAGAAATAGCCAGATTCTGTACTGCCTTTACTGCCTAAAAGAGATGAAGTCTTTTCATCCGATGAATCTTGAGGAGCATATTTTCCTCTACTTAGACGCAGTGCTAATCTCTTTTTTACTGCATAGGACTCATCACTTACTGAAGTGCAATCTTTGGCCTTGTCTGTTTCATGACTCTTCATTGAGGCTACACTGCTTTGTGTTTCAGTAAGGGAAGAAGTGGATGATAGCTGTCTGGTTTCATCTTCGGACTCAGTGACTTGCTCCTCTAGATTTCTTGGCTCCCCAAGTGCCAGACCTGCCTTCACCCTGTGGGTATGCGATTTGCGATGTTTGTACAGGTTACTCTTGGTTTTAAAAGAGAAACCACATGGGGCACAGGGATAGGGTCTTTCTCCTGTGTGGGAGCGAATATGTTTCTGTAGGACACTAGGTTTTGCACATGCCCGGCCACAGTAAGTGCAGACATATTTTCCTGGTCTCTGAGGCTTACGCTCTCGTTTTTGTTTTGGGGTGCTGTCTTGGCTTTCTTCTTTAGATTGGGTTTGGTCAACTTCTAGTTTGTCACCTGGAACTGGGGTTCCTTTTGTTTCTGTTGTTGCTTCATTTTTGTGTTCCAGCACTGTATCTGAGTTAGTGCTTTGCCGCTGATGCCTGAGACGCTTACGCTCAGGATGCTGTCTTCTGGACTGTTTGGGTTGCTGTTGCATGCCATGGGGCTTTGGGGAGCTTGTTTGCTGTTGGGGCTGGGAGGGAGACTTAGGCTGCCGGCCACGGTGAGGAGATTCAGGTTGACAATGTTCTTGACCTTCGGACTGCTCCCCAGTCGTCAGGCTACTATGCAAGGTCTCCATAAAATGGGAGGACAGCCTCAAGTAGACAAGTGGGGCCGCTTAATGTTACTGAATTCCTTCAAATTATATCAACTTCAGTTGATGGTCATGTTTCATAATTTTCACTTGCGTTACTAAAGTGTTACTCCTTGACAGAAGAGTGATACCATCAAATGAAAAATGGTGGCAAAAGGCAATTTAGCTGTGATATGTCATTCGCTTTGGAGGAGGTCCGCTGCCATGCTGACCTCAAGCATCCCATCATAGAGCAGTCAGCCAGTCACACAGATGAATCAGTGGAAGATATGAATCTTCTGTCTTCTCAACATTAAGATCTGTGAAAACAAACAACTCATTATATGGAATAGTGTATATAGCTCAGTTACAGATTTACAGATAACCCTTTCTAAATATGGATATTTATGTTTCATGTCTTACATAATAACTGTATGTGTCATAACATCCAGCCTCCACGTGCCCCTGGCTGCTGAATACTTTGAAATTGAGACAGTTTATGTAATATTTTGGTACAAAAATATAAAAGCATGCAGCAAGTTAAAATGATTTCTGTGAACATTTCCCGGGAGAGGAAATATGTAACAGTAATTGCAATTACTATGACACAAACATTTGAATAACAGAATCATTTGAAAGTCTCCTGGTCTTCAGTGTTTTCTAATCCACCATACATTATTCATGTCAAAGCCATGGTCAACAATGTGTTCCTGTTGGACAGCAGCACATTACATATCACAACCTCTCCCCGTAATATGAGTCAGATCTTCCTGCTGCAAAAAGACCAAAAAAAATGATCCTGTTTGGGGAGGGAGTTACATCATTCCCAGCAGTAAATAAAAATGACACATCTATTACCTTGTTCCTCATTAAATCTAGTTGTCATAGAAGCACTTTTTTTTAGGTCTTCACTTCAAGTTTTCTTGACATAATTAATTACCCAGGGATACTGTGGCATCATGTGAACCTGGCAGTGTCTTAACATACTCTAATTAATGCTGCATGTTTAACACGTTATGCCAGCAAATACCACTGTCTGATGGTGTTACATGACAATATTACAGCATTACAGCACTACTACTACTGAATGGCTCTACCTGCTTCATTACTTTATGGCACACATGGATCCTTTTCCCTGATAGACTGTGATTGTAGATGTTTAGAAGGCCAAGCTTAAAGAAGACTGCATATACAAGGTGACTGAATAGAGATGCTGAAGAAAACTCCCATGTGTGTTTTTTGAGGCAGCATAAAGAAACAGTAAACAAGGCATCCCACGCACTGACCAGCTGGTTTCAACACCCACATTCTGGACAGCAAAGGTGCTGAATTATTTCAAATTTACTGATAACAGGTTGATAAACGTCTTTGGTTTAACTTGTGGGAAGTGTATACATAAGATATAAGATAAATACTGAACCAATACTTTTCTAAATAAGAAAAAGCAGGTATAAGATGTGATGTCCATAGTTTGCAAGAGAACATTCAAATGTCACAGCACCAGATCTCTTGCAGTGAGACTACTAAGTGCTATGTAGGTCAGACAGGTAGTGTAACTAGACTAAGAGCTTTTTCAGAGACTCGTCTTTATTGAAAATAATGCTTTAGAGCTCAGACTGACACATTCAGAGAATACCCTGCATAAGGGTGACAATGACTGGACTGAAATACATTGCAGATGTAGCCCATGCTCAGAAATGGCACATAAAACCAAGCAACATCATGCAATGCATCTCTGAATTTACAATTGTTAGCGTGTCACACTTGTATAGAGAGAACTAAAGAGTGTTCATTTACACCTCTCATCGTGCAAATGAACCTGCAGCACCTTCATCTACATGGATCCTTTTTCCCCATGTCCTTGGCTCTCAGCCTCTGTGATTCTCCCAGGCTGAGCCGTTGTAAGGCTTATGAAGAGCACATGTCTAGGTGTAATGTTCTCAGTGTTAAAGTTAGACAGCTGCTTGCTTGGCTAAATCACTGCTTATTTAATGAGGACAGATGTTCAAAGTTTTCTACTGCAACAATTGATCAAAAATCTGTACATGTCACCTTAAAGGAAAACTCCAACTCCTCAAGGTTACATCAAAGTGTGTTTACAAGGGTTGGGGACTTCTACTACACACACTTTGTGGCTCTAGAGGGAACTGAGTGAAGTCTGATAAATGTCCTCGAGTCACCTCAATGGAGTCAGCATTAGTTCAGGCTGAAGACGACAAGTTGAAATAGACAATAAAGTAAATAAATGTAGGGGTTTAGCATTAAAAAAATTAGCACGTTTAATGAAGTGGATTAAAGGTAAAAAATAAAAGATAAAAACTCAGATTATGCTGCATCCATTTTTTAGTCGCATTGTCTTACTGCAGTGCTAAAAGGGTAGATAACTCCTTTAACCCAAATCAGCACGCTTTCCAAAAAACAAAAGGCCTTTATCTGACACATAATAATTGTTCCATTTAAGTATTTCAGTAAGACATGCCAGTGAGTAAGAGTGCTCATCAGCAGCTTCATGGAATTAATGGAATGCAGCCATCATTAGTTTAACTATTTATACCTGTGCTTTTCTGGCCCATGAACATTAGCCTAGAGCCAGTCTATAGAGAAAATAAAACTGTTGATTGGGTCTAACTGGGCTTCAGGCAGTGATGTGTGCCGCACTGAATTTAGTCTATAAACTGGCTACTAACATCTGTAAATAGGCAACTAAAGTAACCTATGAACCTGAATAAAATCAGTTTCAAATCGATCTTCATTAGAATAATCTACTTTTTCCCTTTTACTGTGAATATGTGACGCTTTAACCCTGCTAGTCTAGTGTGGCCAGGGCATGTGCAACAAGATGTCTGAATTTCAGATTTAAAGACAGTGTCCAGACAGAGCTGGACAATATAAAAACATATACACAAGAAGCGCCAAATGGAGGTGAAATACTTTGGGACAAATCTCCAAAAGCATTTATCAAGACATCGCCAACTATGCAAAAATGTCTGAAATGAAACCAGCCTCACTATGACATTTATGATGAAGTTACCATTCGATTCTTTGCATGCCCAATTTGGTATGTCTCATTTTTACACTGGGAGTCTCAATGCCTCTGTGTGTAAATAGAGTGGAATGAAGGCTGCAGCTCCTGAAATCACAGACATATCTCCGCACATATTTGCAGATTGCTGTATGCATTTCAGGATCTGCCACGGCAGAAGCGTAGCAAAAGTCATGTGTAAAATAACAGGCAATTGAGAGGCTGCCTGAGCAGAAACTGATGACTTGAAGCACAAAACAGCCATTAATACACCCATTAATCTCAATGTATGTTTGTCTACACATTTACAGATATCAATACACCTGCAAATATGAATACATATTTGCAGATCTCATATTTGCAAATCCAATTACACACACCCAGATTTTTAAATAAAGATTTGAGTTTACACATTTGGAGATTCTTTTACACGTTCATAAAACTGATTACACACAGACGATTTGAGACTAGTATTTTTGTCAATAGTTTTGCTACAATAATGGCCCAATACACTGCGCCCTCTACACAAAAAAAAACATTTAACTGCTTTGTATTTCATTCTTAATGTGAACATTGATATTTTAATGATGCACTGGGTTAGATGGCTCCTTGTGCCATGCATTTACCACAGCATAAGTCTAATCTCTTTGTTTTCTAAGCATAACTGGTGTTATAACTGGGAAAAAAGACCAAGCAATCCATTGATGAATCCATGATGGAATCGAATTAGCAGCTTGTCAATAGGAAATCAATTCATTTCAGAAATCCGTTACTCAACATAACACTACAAATAGTGTGTGCATACAGTTACAATCTGCAGAATGCACCTTCCAATTAAGCTAAATACAACTGTTTTATATAAATGTATGAAATGCTGCATCCATTCACACACCACACAGAGGGAGAATATTGTATAAATGGCTTTTTAAAAATCTGTTGAATTTCCTTTCTCACACAAATGGGCACCCAGCGGTGGTTCCTATGGTAACGGCCCTAAACCATGTGGTGGCAGATGGAAGGAGAGCTGGAGGGCTAAATTTATCTTCCAGCATCCTCACCGACTACAGAGAGAGAGAGAGAGAGAGAGAGAGGAAGAGAGGGAGGCGGGCAAAGGTGCCTCCCTCCTAGAAGCTACAGCTTTTTGTAGAGGGAACGGCACACATCTCAAAAGAAAATCAATACTTTGGGAGTCTTGAATTTGTACTATACCCACATAGTCCTCCATTCTTCCAGGGGGGAACAGGAAGGAAATGCACACACCAGGATGACAAAGAACTCTGGACCAATCTCCATGACAATGCAAGCTACTTAATTCTCAACAAACCATCTAAAATCACTTGTTTCAACTCTTCACTTTGTTTTACTATTCAACTACAATGTTGCAGCATGCCAGAAAACTCAAATACAACATATCTTTGTATGAAATGTGCATTTTACTGTTCTAAAGTGAGGTTGTATCTAAACACTGGCATTAAAAGCATCGATGTTGGATCAAAAAGTGGAGATTTCATTGGCAATTTTGAAATATAACGTCATCTTGCAGACTTGTCTGACCTAAGCAACACCTTGAATACCCTCATTTGTTGTTGTGGTTCCATCTTCTCATCAGCTGAGCATTAGCGATGCTGTTAATTCCAAGAGCGCAGCTTCATCAGCAGCCTGATAGCGGCGCTCTCATGGGGACAGAGAAGGAGAGCCCTCTGGGAGTCAGTGCATGCACAGTCACCCCTCTGTGTGTGCGTGTGCATGTGTGTGTGTGTGAGCCTCGAGAGCGCTCAGGAGGACATGCCAGGCATAGGAGGTTGGATGCACAACACAGGGAGCTCATTCACTCCTTGTCCGCGCTGTGAGCGTTACTACATACACAGCCCACGAGCCGCTCACTATATGCACTCTCCCTCTCCTTCATTCACACACACAAACACACACACACACACACACATGCAAAAACACAGCAGCACAAACCCCTTCCCTGCAGAAGCTGCGCTGTCTGAATATGTTTAAAAAAATTCAGCTCATTTCAAATGTGTACGTCGCTCTGAGTATGATTCCACAAATGACTCGTATTTTCCACCATTCACTGGCTCATTGATGGAGCTGCCTTTTGCAATAACAAAGACCTGAATGGAGAAAACCCCCCGTTCCTCACATCACGTCACTATCATCACCTCACACACATCAAAATCACTGCAGATGACAAAAAAATATATATCAATGGATTTTTTTTTACCTGGTTGCAGGTGGTGTTGTCCTCCTGTTGTGAATGACTGGAAACAGGGAGAGCAGGGACAGTCAGAGAGAGGTGAAGGGAAGGAGAGACAAAAAAGGATGAATGAGAGTGATGGTGAAAAGAGAGTGTCGGCTCTACGTGCACTGGGCTGACAAACAGGTAGCTGAGTATATTATGCGTATGAATGAGGAGGAGGGTACACACTCTGCCTGTCTATCTCCACCTCTTTCATACACCCCCCCCTTTAGTGTCTCTCTTTCAGGTCAAAGTGAAGTAGCAGCTCCTTATTTGGAAGTTGACGTAAGCTTGTGTTTCTTTTGGCAGCGATCTCGGGCTGCACAGCTGGCAGAGCGGTGAGAGGTAGAGGGGCAGAGTGAGTGGTCGGTGTTTTAATTTGACTGGGAGAGGGAGTAGAGGGGGTTACTTCATATTTTTAAAACACAGTTTACCCATTCAGGTCCATTTTCCAGCATAGGTGGAGAGCTTTTGGTGCTGCATTCAAAGAAAGCCCTGGAAAATCTGAAAACATATAAGCATGGAAAAAAAAAATAGGGGCACAGGCTTTTTAAGAGCAGCTCTGGAGAATGTCCCCACACACCACAGTGCAAGTGTTCATGCTCCTGCCAGGGGTCCGGCTGAAACGAGTCCAGGCAACTCTGACATCACCCTCCGCTCTTTCATGCCATGGGGTTTTTTTCCCCTCGCCGCCAACTGATTTTTTTCAGAAGGCTCAGAGCTTGAAGATATGTGGAGCATTGAGGGAATACCAGCCGGTGGGATGAAGGCAGGCGGTCAGCCGCTCATCTGGCTGGGCGTGAAAAGTGGAAGCTGAGAGGGAAATGGAAGAGAGCCCAGGGTGCCCATCCTGCACCAGGCAACAGAGAGTCCTTGTGACACGGGACTAGAAATAGTGTGTGAAAGCAAGCTTGAATATTGAAGTTTTAGAATTAAGGCTGATAAATAGACAGCTTTATCCTTTATCCTTCTAATGTTTCCTTAGAAAACATTTGGAAAAATTATCACGACCTAAGCAACACCTTGAACACCCTCATCTGTTGTGGTTCCATCTTCTCATCAGCTGAGCATTAGCGATGCTGTTAATTCCAAGAGTGCAGCTTCATCAGTAGCCTGATAGTGGCACTCTCATGGGGACAGAGAAGGAGAGCCCTCAGGGAAAAACCCTCTCTAAAACTTTTTCTTTAGTTACCATAATCATTATGTACAAAATAATCAACCTACATCCAGTGTGATTGTATGTAAATACATCCACAACATGCTTTTATGTGAGTTTTCAATTATAAATGCTAAAACATTCGATAAAAGTTGGAATGTGAAGGTTTTTATTCTTGGTTGAGGTAGACCATTGGAGTTTGGATAGACAGAAAATGCAACAAGGTCAAATGTAAACGACAAATAAATCATTACTGAAGCTTCCATTCCACTGAAGAGACATAAAATATCACCGGGGAAAACATCAGATCTGATGAGGAGAATGTCACCTTCCTTAAACCAACACAAACAACATCCATCACATTTCCACAGGGTTTTCATTAATTTAAAGTTTGACTGGTGCTATTCAAATTACTTTAGAATAGAATTCACTGGAGGATCAACACCACCAGTTGTTTATCTTGATGAGCCAACTCTTAATATTCACATGAGCTAACAGCAATGGAGGAAAATGTGCTGTAATTCACATTTGATGATTTTCTGAAAATTCATTTAAAATTGGCTTTTAATTTGGGTGGAAACCCAGCTACTTTTCATCAAAAAATTGAATCTAAAAATGAGTGTATATTGATATTTTTAACGATTCACACTACATCCAGTGTGATTGCTAGATAGCATTTGATCTCACAATGTTAAAATTACATTTACACCAGCTTTAAATAGCAGTAAATAAGAGGAAAACCACACACTTTTGTGTGTTTGTGTACTTTGGTGGTCGGGGATTACCCCATTGGCACTCCCAATTAAATAGAAATTCAATTGGTGATTATGTATATCTCACTTTTTATTGAACTAATATTGGATTTTGTGTAGTGTTATGATACAAAAAAAAAGAAACGTAAGTCTTTAAGAAGGTTGGTTGAAACCAATTTTAGCTTTTAATTCTGTGAGCTTCTAATGTTACACTAACTTTAGCAACTGTAGGTATTTACACTTATACATTAATGAACCTATAGGACCATCTTGTCTTTCTTGACAAATATAAAAAGACAAATTAAAGATTTCAGGGCTAGCAGACACGACAATGTCTCTGCATTACTTTTCTCATAATGTCTGATACTTTCAGCAGCCAAGACAAGCATTATTTAATGCAATACAATGTTTTTTTAACCTACTAATAAAGGCTTTAAAATCATCTTGATGGTACACAAACAGTTAATAGGGAATAGTGCATTTCTGCCATTGTCACAGTGTTCCCAGAAAACCTGGAATTGCACTATGTTACTGTGGTGTATGATTCAGGATTATTTAAAGTGAAACTTAAACTTTTTGACAAGAGCTAAGACATTCATTTGGCACACTCCAACTATCGTGTCAAGTAACGCGCCTAAAGTTGGTCTCCTTAAAGCTGTCTTCCTACTTTTGTCAACGTTTTGAATCTCAGCAATGAACAATACTACCTCCGGCACTACAGTATCACAATATAGTACTAATATTGCTTTAGAGGGTGTAGTAATAAAGTATGTTCCAAAAGTTGGATCTGACCTGTCCTATTTTCTTTTACCTTGGTCAGTTTACCACTCACATTTGTACAACTGAAATTTCAATAAAAACTAGACCAATGGGGGTGTTCCTAAACCTATGAGCGGTATTAATAAGTAACACAGAACATTTTTAACACTGCAAAACAATACTTTAATGTGAGCTGCAGAGTGCCCCCGCTCCTTCTTTGCAAGTATTTGGGTCCATCTAACATAGAAGATTAAACTGGTGCAAGACTGAATATTTTTTGCTTTACAGAAAAAACATCTCAAACAACGTGCCATTGAAGACAAATTACTGTTGACTGAGGTATAAATCTGCTGAAAATAAAGGTGGTTATTGCATTCAACATATTGTGGTTTGTTGTCAGATTTTTTGAGTACGACATGAAGACCAATATTGGCTGAGTAAATCGGTCTTACTCCACATGTCAGCCTTTCTGTAGGTGACAGAGCTGCCAGTGTTGAGCTGGTCCACAGGGGAGGTTTGCCTCTGTGCAGCTGAGTCTTGTCTGCGTGGCCTTGTCACACTGTGAATATCATGCTACCGCAGACACACATTTCCTCAACAGGAATTTTTCTCTTTGTTAGGAATTCAGGTCAAGAAAGAGAATGAAAACAACAAGATAAAAACTGTCCTCTTTTTTCCATGCCCAACACTGGGAATTCATTTTGTACCTGGAGCTACATAATACATTAACATTTAGCAGTGGCTGAATAGAAATGATGTCCTATTTTAAAAGATTCAGATGTAGAGAGTAAACCTTCCTGATTCCAGATTAGACACAATTTGAATAAGCAGGGTAAATGAAAAGCTTTTACTTCTAAAGCACTCACGACTGCTTTTCTGAAATCGAAAGCGTTTTGTTTGTATTGTCGTTTTCATTGACTATATAATAAGAAGAAGCTACATCCTTAACCCATCTTTTTATTTGCCACTACACCACTTATGTTATTGTGTGGACTTGCACAATTTATGAACGATCACATTTAAAACAGGTCAAGCTGTGCAGGAAATCTGTTTTCTTTTTGTCCATCTCATCATGATAGCATCACATATTTGAATGAAACTTATTTTTGCAATCAGGTCTGATTAAACATCTACCACACAGGCACACTTGTTTGAGTTATTATCAAAAAACATATTTTTGGGAAGTTTAACTTAGATTTGTCCCTATTTATTTATAAATATCAATATATCAACATAAGTTGAATATATTTGAAGGCAAGGGTCATGTGGGTTTATGTTAACTGGGTAATGTAATGCTAACCCTAACCCTGGTTGACAAATATGGATCAGCTCTATACCTGACACTCCAATTAACTTTTTGGAATTGATTTTATTCTATAAATCATCCAAAATGTACAGATACTCTGTTTTCCACTTATTTGATTTTGCACAAAGATTCTTAGACATAAAATATTCTACATTAAATTGCATTTTAAATGTGACATTTATTGTTTTTCTTTCTTGTTTAGTGTGTGTTTGGCCACTTGATGGCTGCACAGCACAGTAAACAATACACGCTATCACAAAGCTGATATACGCAGCAGATTTTCACATCCACCAGACACAGAGTAACGTGTGTTGTCTTGTCAAGTCATGTGCTCTGACACACAAAAAAGGAGCAACGGTATCAATGAGAACTTCCTTATAATCAAAACTATATTAGCTATTTATGAAGTAATATATAAAATAGAGGCACTTATTTTATATTCATATATTTATATTAACTGCAGATTTAAAAGAGAGTTGAACAAAAAACACACAATTGAACTGATTGGGTGGAACCGATGCATGAAACTCTTACTCTTTTAGCAACCACTTTTCTCAATGCCATTATTAACACACTATGGCTAGTATTTTCATATAGTATAGAATGAATCATGTGTACACTTTAAAATTATAAAAAGAAACCGTGAAAAAATAAAGTACCTTTACAGGAGAGTGTTTTAACTGTAGACATCACTCAAGCCTACCCCCACAGTACCACGATGAAATCATTCCTCTGCCATGAAGTCTGACTGACTCTCTGTGGTAAGAGATGGACCTCCATCATACTGGAGGACGATAACAGTGACCAGTCAGTGTCTGATTTGACCTAAAAGGCCAATAATAGCAAAAAAGGGTGTGACCCAGGCTAGAACGAGGGGGTTTCTGGGCACGGTACCAGTAAAGAAGAAAGAGAAACCACAGACAGCGTCCACCTCAGCATCCCAGCAGATCACGTATTCACATATGGCCCTGAACACCACAGAGACAGCAGCGTCTGTCACTGCAGCTGTCTGTGTACAGTACAGGATGGTGTTCTTCTTTATGGGCACGGAAATGGATTATCACTGTTTAACTTGTGGGCCGACTGCGTGTTTCATGTGAAACACACCTCTGCCCGTGTAGACTGTCGATTCCAAGAGAGCATAGAAGAATAAGGGCTTTCTTCATGTATGTAGCTGACTGTTAAAATAACAGTGTCTACCTTTTTGCATGTGTGTATATGTGTGTAAACCCAGCCGATAAATCCTAACATATAACCACAGCTCCCCTTGCCCCCCACCAGACGACCAGCCACAGACAGACCAGAGACCCCCCCTCCCCACATCACCATACATCTACCGACCAGAAAGGAACAGATGACCCTCTCAACCAGAACCTGCCTTCAGAAAACAGCAGTGTGACCACCACACAGTAAGCTACGATGTCACAATTCAGGGCGGGAAATAGTTCAATCTAAAAACTGTCTGAACGACAACCTGACTTCCCAACAGTAGACCATGTTGACAGATGTTGTGTCGGGCTCAGCTGTGGTG